GCAGGTGCAATCTCATAGAATGACGCTCCTCAACCAGAGGTATATATATACGTTTCACACTAGGCTGTACAAGACACGGCGGATATATATGCCATGGAAAAAAACGTCTTAATAAAGACATGTAGATGATAGAAAAAGCAAAAATCGACATAGAATATTATATTGCACAATAATCCAAACTCAATTCAACCACCACAATTTGGCTATATTATTTACGATTCAAGTTAATTTTGGCTTATGTAGCACTAAAGTCCAATTTCTTCTAACAGCCCGGCCGGGCTAGCTCAATCGGTAGAGCGTAAGACTCTTAATCTTAAGGCTGCGGGTTCGACCCCCGCGTTCGGCTATTCCTAAAACCAAACCTGAGATTTTTTTTTTTCTCTTTTTATCAGTTCGAACTATGATCTGCAACTGATTATCCGTTTCCCTTGTTATCTTGGTAGTGTTTTATAACTGATTATCCGTGTCCCTTGTTATCTTGGTAGTGTTTTACTTTGCTTCGTACCTTTGTCCCTTTCCTCCACCCAAAACGAGGGGCAAGTCATTATGCGATTGCACAGACAACGGACAAATCCCCCCACCATCTGCACAACAGACATCCCGGTATGCAGCATGGATGCCTGTTTCCAGTAAAGCCACTGTGATGAGTTTCAGATTCACGTCGTGAATTGAGATGTTCCATTGGTCAGGGCTAGGTGTAATGGCTGTACGATGTGTCAAGACTGGCCATACGGCATATATCCGTTGAGATGGTCTGATCCAATGTGATTTTAAATCCCCGGTCTGGACAAAATCCAGAGTGAGTCATTTATGATGATCCATTGATAGTCTCTGGTAGTTTTAGTTCAAGTTTCGGGTTCTGCCTGTTGCCTCCTCTGGGCCTCTAAAGTAACCATAAACTCCAGGTCGCAGTTCAATGGTCTAGGCTTCTGGGGAACCGGAACACTGCAGGGATGACGAAGGAGTGGTATCACTTTGCAACACAATTCGTCCCCTGACGATGAGGGGACTGAGCACTAAGTTTACGGGCTAGTCAATTCGGGTCTCGCAGATCCGACCCGGGTTAGGCCATATCTCTTTGTACTCCGTGCGAGTTATACTATTCTAGGAAGTACAGTAGTTTTACCTTCTAGAAGAATATGCAATTGCGTGACCGCAGTATTTTAGTATTCTTACCTTAGTGGCGGGATCTGACCGCTGATTTTGTTATAGGAGTAGAACTTGATATACGATAATAACATATAGTGAATATCACTGTATACATATCAAATAAAGTATACACCAATAAAGTATATAATATATGAATATATATGTCAAATACGTATATAAAATATTTGAAAAGATCAAAAAGCAAGCAACAAGTAACGATCTAGAGCTTGTGAGGGGCACAGTTACCCTGTTATCTGCTTATCTGTAATTTTACCATTTCCCTTTTTTTCCCCTCCAAAGATTTTTGGGTCCTTTTTCTTTTTTACCCTTTTACTTCTAACCTCCCCTCTCCCCTCTCCTTCTCCTCTCTTCCTTCCTCATAATGTCCTCCACTCTCCCAGATGCCTCCAAAGTCGGACTCCCCGCCTCCGATGCCACCAGCGCCGCCGAACTCGCCAGTCTTAAGGTAAGACTGCGCACCGCCCTGCGCCAGTACCCGGATTTCCCCTCTCCGGGAATTCTGTTCGAGGATATCCTGCCCATCTTCGCCGATCCTTCTTTGCATGAGGCCCTGATCCGCTCCTTGGAACTTCACATCCTCGCCAACTACGGCCAGAAGCCCGATGTCATTGTCGGCCTCGAGGCCCGTGGCTTCCTTATGGGACCCAGCCTGGCGCTGCGCCTGGGTGCCAGCTTCGTCCCCGTGCGAAAGCAGGGCAAGCTCCCCGGTCCCTGTGAAACCCAGGGCTACGAGAAGGAGTATGGTCAGGATTTCTTCCAAATGCAGGCCGATTCCATCAAGCCTGGCCAGAAGGTCCTCGTCATCGATGATATTATTGCCACTGGTATGTGATAAGAATCTCCCGGTGGGTACTTCATACTAATAAACTATTTTTAGGTGGCTCTGCCAAGGCCGGTGGTGAGCTGATCCAGAAGATGGGCGGCGAACTTCTCGGTTTCATCTTCCTCCTCGAGCTTGAGTTCCTTCACGGACGCGACAGCCTCCCCGCGCCGGTGTTCACTCTCCTCTCTGGCCAGGCTTAATTATACACACCGCTTCAAAAAAACTCATTTCTTTCTGCGACGATCTCAACTGCCGATTATAATGACTCCATCCCTCTAAAAGCCCGACAAATGCCCGGCCACACCCGATCTTGCGGTGAGCGTCTGTCACCCGCTCCTTCCGGCCCGCCCCATCAAACAATCTACTCGAACGTCGAGTCTGGAGCCTTGTTTCGCTGGTCGACGGCACCCGCCACAGCCGGCGCAGAGCTGCCCGCCGAATAATACCCACCAACATAGACAAATAGCTTTATCAATACAACTTGATATGTGTATAGACTGGCTGATTAGATTTTCATATTCTAATAGAGTAACTTTCTAGCAATTGAACATTACCATTGATATTCTTCTAAAAGCATCTACCTTATCAATCTACCAATCCCAAACTAAATCTAGTATTCTAGTATTCTACAGGAATGAACTTCCTCATAACACTGTCGACCCATCCCACAGGAACCCCCAAATCCACAGACTCCCGAATAGCCCGATTCATCCTCGCAATATACTCAAACTTCGGCTCAGAAAGGCGAACGCAGTTCTCATCAACATAAACCAAAGCCGGCACCTTCCCCTCCCTATTCTCAAGCGACGCCCTAACCCCTTCCGCCCCATCCAACCACGTCACAACATCCGCCTTAACAAACCACTTACTATAAGACCCATTCCCTTGCACCCGAGGCCTAACACAAACAGGCACACCATCCCCAGCCCCCGCGCCAGCAGCATCTTCATCAACACCCTCATAACCATCCAGAATCCTCTCATCGCCAATATCCATCTGGTAAAGAACGCCGTAGACTGCGTCCTCGGACCCGGAAGTGGGAATCTTATGTGCGGATTCGGAGTCTTGATTCGCGACGCGTAGACTAGGTGGTGGGAGGACGTTTGCGTACCCCGATTCACCGATTAACCAGCGCCAGTATGGGAGGGTTGCGATTGCTAGTGGCTTGGCGGAGTGCGTGGGGTTGATACGGCAGCGGGTTTTCATTTGGGCTGGCGAGAGATTGGAGCCGTAGGCGAAGTAGAGGTATTTTGGGTATTGGGGTGGTTTTGTGATAGGCGGGGTGGGTATTGGGGGTTCGGTGTGTCTTTCTGTTGGTTGGAGGTTGGTGTTGGAGAGCATTGCTTCTGATGGTTATGGGCTGGGTATTGCAAAGTGCAATGTGAGATTGTGAGGGTGTACACGAAGGGAAGAGACTAGAAGATGTAGGAGGTAATGAGTCAAAAGTAAAGAACTAAGATTTGCGGGGTTTGATATTACCAATCTACATTGAGGATTTGGATAAGTCCAACCCATCTCTACTGTCTTTTCTTTTCATATATTATTGCGAGTCTTTACGTTCTAAAGATAGATGACCATTTATAGAGATATTTATCGAGAAAAGATTATGTATCCCCAAGATCGTTTCTTTCACATGACATTCGCCAGGGTTTTATTTAAAAACCAGCCGTTATCCCTTGTGCGTGCAGCGTTGTCCAACCCAGACTTTGACAAGTGAGGAACGTTCCTAATTTTGCTACGATGGCTTCCGACGGGCTATCTTCGAATGAATTACCACCTTACGAAATTGTCTACTTCTCTTATGGTTCTTTGACCGTACAGCCGAGTTGGGATAAGATTCTACGGAAAACAGTTTTATACCATTGTGTCAGAGGACAATCTCGTCGATGGCTCTGGAATCAAACGCGAATATCGACGTTGGTATGATAGGCTCGACGATCCCACCGGTTCAGGCGTCGATGGTGTTTCCGACCCGATGGAATATCTTTGTTTTTGGATCGCCGAGAAATGTAACAATCGAATGCGTGACCTGGGCTCGACATGTTCATCGCAAATGCGCACCCTTAAAGACTGGTTCAGTGTCGAAACCATTGTCCTCTTTGGTGATGAGAGACGGATGTTTAACCGCAATCACTTCCTCGCTTGATCCGTCCCGTGCGGAACACTTGACTCCGCACATGGAACTGCCATCCTCGCTGGCAGGCAAGCTTCCGACGCTTGACCCAAGCACCATACTCCTGCCCGCTGACCTCGAATTTGGTCCAACTCGCCCGACGAAAGTCTCCTTCAAGTCCGACACATGGTTTTTCAAAGCGGCAAACAATCCCCCTCATGCGGCCCGAGAGATTGACACGCTGCTCCGCCTCCAGGCACCTGATCTCATCCAAGTAGTCAACCCGCCTATCCTACGTGGCCTTGTATCGTGTGCTGAAGAAACAATATGATATGCGGATATCTTCTTGATTATAATGAGCACCGAGATATCTTGAGCTTTATTGATATTCAAAAGGAGCCCACATCTGTTCGTTCTCAGTGGATCAGACAGATAAGTGAGATAATAGGTGCTTTGCACAATGCGGGCATTGCCTAGGGCGATGCAGAGCCTGACAATATCCTGGCCAACGCGAACAACTATCTTCAGATCATCGATTTCGGAGGGGGCTACTCAAGTGGATGGGTTGACGAGGATAAAGAAGGAACATTCGAGGGCGATGATGAAGCGCTATCGCAGATCGTCGACTTCTTGGCCACTGGCAATCATCCAAGTTAAGCGATAATCACCTTGTCTTTAAGGGGCAAATTCTCCCAAATCCTTTCTGTACCCCAGTTCCCCTTTTTGGTCAAGTGGAGTGAGGCTGGGCTCTGTGGTCAAGTCGACGGGCGTCAAATCACGAATCTGGATGCACAAAGCATTTCAGAGCCCGAAATAAACTCAAACTTCATATAAGCAGCCAATTAGAGAATAGATCATATGTATGTTGGGTTGCTGAGTGCCACCGCGCCTTCGCACGCAGTCAACCTGCCAAGAAAAACTGGCTCCAAAGCAGCAGTTGTTTCCATTGAAACTTCCATCTTCGGAACATCTAAGTCGCCAGTTTCTGGCTTCGGACAATCTTGGAGCTCGGTCTTCAGCCTTTCTTTCAATACCAAGTCCTTGAAAGATTCGCTAATTAATGCATGTGTACTCGTACTGCCTTGGATATGAACGGCGGGTGCCACGCCTACATTAATTTCTCGACTCCCAGAGCCAATCAAGATTTGGTTGGAGAAAAGCAGGGCAGGGTTGGTCTGTCTGTGGACTCGATCCTCAGCCTGACTATCACCCTTAAAAGGGCTGAAAGCCGAAAATCCTCGACCATCTACGCCACGAACCGGAATCGATAGAAAAAAGATGTAGACGCAATTCTTGAAGATAAGGGCTGAGATTTCAGCTTTAAGATCACTAGTGTTCCAAAGCTGTAAAACTTGATTGGCTGAAATGTGGGAGGTAAACACATACTACATCCATGGACACAAGTTACATGTATCCATGGATGTAGTAGATCAAATTCTACTAAATCGTCATCTACCATGGGGCACTGGCTATGATTCCAAGGTCTTTGCAAATGGTACTATGCCAAAGGAGGTACGGAGATAATCTGACCTACATATGATACATATATGTAATCTTCAGATCAGTTTTTCCCCTTCGACAGTCCCATACAAGAGCTTTTCTGGCCTCAACCTCTCATAAAAATGAATGGACTTTCTCAGCCTCGACCCCTCACTTGGGTATCTCCATTTCCAACGGAGATATGGTTCATTATTTTCGACTGTCTGCCGCTAGTAGACCAGGTCTGCTTCGCACTGGCTCAAAAAAGTTTCTATGCGCTCTTTATCGCATCTCTCAAGACCAAACCTCCACACCAGAGGCTTCCTAAGCACCTGATCCCATGGCAAAATCGTACCCTACGCCGCAATCTCGACCTCGAGAAACTAGACCGAACGCAGTTACTCCGTCGGTTAGAAAGCCACTGTTGGAAATGTTGTTGTATACAGTGCTTAGACCTTCATCCCCACTCAGCATGGGAGCAATCAACTGGCGAGTGCTTCGCTCACCGAGGACTCTTCAGAGTGCACTGTAGGCCTTACGCTGGCCTTGTTGATATTTGCCCCTGCCTCATCATCACGTTTCAACACCGAGACCGCATCCTGGAAGATCTTCGAGCCGCTCGTAGTCCAAAATACGATGGTTTTGAAATATTTTTCGTGGGTAGAGAGAAAATGGTTTATAAGTGCAAAATCATCACTCGCCGTTGCACAGTTGAAATTTCTACTATGCTTCAATCCGACTATCGAGATTCAGACTTTCGAGATTTCCTTGGTTTAAGGCTGGTGAACGTCCACATTTTCCATTCCCCTATAGACATATACCAGAGGAAGAAGGATTGTACCTGTAAACGTTATATCTGTCCACATAATAACCCTACGAAATGGGTCGAGTGGTTCTTTAGAGAAGCTGGGGTGGAATTTGTAGGGTGGGGCAAAGAAAGTGACCCTACATCTCTCATTCCGGAACAGGGATGTCTCTTTGGCTACGAGCTTGCAATTGATAGGTTTTTGGGTCATCAGGCTTGGCCTGATCTAGACTGGGAGGCTAACCGCAATGATCGCGAATAAATAATTTTGCTTAGTAGTATTCCTTGATTTGGTGGATATACAGTCTAAGGGTTTGGCAAGCTTGATGGATGAATTTGATGAAGCTATGATATTCTTCGATCGGGTTGCTGGCTACAAAAGCCACCGAAATATATGGCTTATAGGACGGGATTTCTGATGCCCCGTACATATATGGATTGACGGTTTGCTATCATGGTCTACTCGTTGTACAAACTATCACTGTATAAGGAAATACGAATTCATGCCTACTTCCAAGTGGATCGACCTCTACTTTGATTAGTGAAAAGATAAATAGGTAGAGACAAGGATATCTTTTTCGTACCACAAAGTTGAAATGATCAACAGGCTGTTGTGTCATTAGATCTTTTTCGTGCGCTAGTACAACCAAGCGGCCATGTCTGAAGCATTTCTGGGGGTTCTCCTGGTAACATATATTCCTTTCTAACCAGCTGGTAAGCCCGAAGACCCTATCATATGACGAGTAATTGCTGTTCAGATATCATATGTACCCACCATGATGTACATTTCGCGAAAATGCTGGCACGGCGTGACATAACTGTATACATAAGTCAGAACTGGGTCTTTTCATGTAGAGGGAAGACTTACCAGTCCTTTGACTGCTCTTGAATCATCGGCTTCTTAGCTACTAGCAATCATCCTAATTAAGCGGTAATTGAACTAAGTTTCTTCTGGTGCTGCCCCCAGCCCCCGGAATCATATTTACTGCAAAGCTTCCAGTATTCCTTCTTGTCTCCTCCCTCTTTCCTTTTCATTCTCCTTTCCTTGTAATAAATCTATTTATTTGCTGTCTTTCTCCTAGACTCTAAACCTACTTAGGTTGCCCTGCGTTTTTATCAATTCACCTGCTGTTGTTCTGAATTCCAACTTCCCTTCTATGGTACATTTTTAATAGTCTCTAGGTAAGGCCCCGTGAGGACCATCATTCTAAGCTGCATGGCTGTAAGCCTTTGTTATGCAAATTGTTGTGATATTGTGATATGGGGCTGGTGCTGATCAAGGACAGAGCCATATCATTGATATTAACACCTGTGCGCCTTATATATATGAGAAACCAAATGAATTGCAATCAAATTGGGCCTTATGTTGTAAACATAAATGTTTGCATTCGTCCACTTGCTCGAACCCCCCTCAATAAATCGAAAAGGACTTTGCTGGATTTTGATTACAACATGTACAAGCAAAGATGGTAGGGCGCGATAATATAGTAGGGTAGAGTGAGGGAGGGAAAATGACGGGGGAAAAACCAACTGAGTGTGGGTACCTTGCTTATTAGCACACTGGTCTAATTTGCTCTGGTCTGGTGGGTGACGGATGGCAGTGGTGAAAGAAGTTGCTGATGGGAAGGCATGAGTAAAGCAGCCGCGGTTCTTTACACTACTCGAGAACCTCATACCAGATGAGCTGTTGCCCACACTTTCGGATATAGACTATTGCAGCCTCATTCTGTGCGTGTTCGAAGTCTCAGGGCCACCTTCTTCGTAGGTGGTAACGTTCCATATGGCACCCATTTTGTGTCAGGTTTGACCCTTTCAGCTTGTTGAACATCGACCAGCTCACATTCAAACAACTCCAAGAGCAATCCCAGCGTGCCGATAATTACATTCTTGGCAAAATGACGACCAGGGCACATACGTTGGCCTCCACCGTAGGGCATCCAACATTCAGTCAAGCCTTCCAGACTGAAATTTGCTTCTTTCTTGTTCCTTAGAACAAGAAATCGCTCTGACCAGAACTCATCCAGAGGTTTGGCAATGCTCTCAGGTCTCGCGGCTTCCCAGGCCAGTCTGTTATAAGCCGTAATCGAGGAGAATATTGTCATTGTCACGTCTTTGTCAATAGCGTAATCTGGACCCAGCTTGAAGTTGGCATCCTCATTTGTGCGCATCGTGGTGGTTGTGACGCGGAGGCGCAATACTTCTGCGTAAGTGGATTGCAGCAAAGGTTTAGTGGAAAGCTTCGGAATGTCCAAGTCGCCAGTTTCTGGCTTCAGACAATCTTGGAGTTCGGTCTTCAGGCTTTCTTGCAATTCCAGGTCCTTGAAAGATTCGAAAATATACCAGAAGACAGCAGGAACGACATTTGCGTTGGACCTGTGAGTCTCTTAGCTGAGGACCTTTCCTTTAGCAAAATGAGAAGTACTTACCCGAAAAGAAGGCCAAGGTGCTCAGATGCGATTGCGTCCTCGTTCATACCATACTCCCTCAAATAATCTTCACGAGCTTTGATGAATTTGGTTCCGAAGAACTCATCCCACTCGGCGCCCTCTTCCCCATGCTGCGCATAGTCCGATTCGCGATTTGCAAGTCGATTCCATGCCTTGATGTTCGCCAGCAAACGATCCCGAGTTTTGTATGCAGACGGAATCATCCAGCGAGGCAAGCCACGGGAATAGTTGGCGACCTGATGCTCGAACTTCCAAAAGTCCTCCACGATGTCAGGGTATATTTCCAAAATTCGCGAACCCATCATGGCTTCAATAATGGAGGGAGTGACCTGGTTCTGAAGCCATGTATAAAAATCTGAGATCTCTGTACAACTGTCAGTTGGAATCTCGAGGTTCACTAGCCTGCTCTTAAGTATTGAGATGTATTTCTCTGACATTTCCAGGAGGTGTTTTCCTGACAAGTACTTGAGGCTGACCTTCACTTGGAAATCATGCATATGCTCAAGCGTTCCTCCTGGGGTTGAGGTGCTGGGATCATGAGCAGCATAGAAGCGCAAATATTCCTTGGGCGTAGAGAACCATTTCTCCATAACAAAAGCCATCATAGGTCTGTTCGTCAGGGTTCTAGAGGACCGTAAAATGGTTCTGATATGACTTGGGTTGACGATCATTGTGAACCCGAAGGATCCAGCGCGGACTGCAATGGGTGAAAGATAGCCCCAGCGTTTTCTAAAGCATTTGTTAGTAACGCCACGACTGCGTGTGGATAATGGACTAACACAGTGTTAGCCAGGAAGCTGGCCATGCTCCATTCTAGGTCAAAGGCATGGCATAGTCCTGGGAGGTAGTATGGAAGGGTTGGTGCTGGCTTTCCGGGCCTCTGGCTGTTTCGAGTCCGGATGAAGTTAAATAAGGATAGCGTATATGTTGAAACAAGAAGCGTCAATAAGGCGAGGACTGCGACTTGAAAAGGCGTAGAATTGAATATGATAAGGAGTGGATTGGTAAGCAACGGAGGTTCCTAGGAAATAAACATGCTGTGAGCAAACTGAAGCTCAATGTGGTGCAATGTAGACAAACCTGATTGGGTATCCTAAGCATACTGTGGCTCTCAGAGATGTTCTCTGTACTGGAGGAAGCCCTTTTCAGGATATTTGAAGCCATGGTGAGCGCAGAAACAAAAATATTTTCCTGGCAAAGGCGCATTATGGTCGATTTGATGCAAAAGTGCCAAAAAAACCAATTTCGACTCAATGGGTAAGGTTATAGTGTACTAGTATGCATGTGCCCCCCCTAGCCTTCTTTTGCCATGTCAACCCCGTCGGTGTCCCTTTATAAAATGGATTATTTCCTACTCCTTCCACTTTGAGAAGATTTAGACTACGTGGCATCATCTTGTGGTTATACACAAAGTACCCTTCTAGAATGGAGTGTATACATCGACCTAGGAAATGAGGTAATAAGCTTCACAGATATTGTGGCGAGGTAATATCGAACGTATTAAAACGAGCCATCCTATAGGATCTTATCTGCTCGCCATATACTCGATTTTGCCGTCCCGGGAACGAACGAGCTGAACACGATATTACCAGTGACTGCAATAGCGAAAACGCCAAAGAAGTGCAGGGATGCTCATCGTATTGGCGACACAGCTAATAGCATTAAGACTAGGGGATAAAATTTGAGGTCTAGTATGGTCGCCCTAGTGTCCGAAGAAAGGGATCTCAGGGAATCAAGGTATGTATAACAGTGTCTACACGATGTGGCGTTTGCGAATAGGTAAGAGACGAAACTAGAACATACCTAGGTAGCTGACAGCAGCTTTTAAGACATGAGCGGGATTTGGCCGGGCCGTGCCTGGATGTGAGACACGAGCTACACCTCCAATTATTAGAGAAAGCAGGGATGTTGGTGGCAGTCTACGCTAATTAATGCACGTGTACGGAGTACTCGCACTGCCCCGCTTAGATATGAACGGCGGGTGCCATGCGTATATTAATTTCGCGACTCCCCGAGCCAATAAATATTAGTTTGGAGAAAAGCAGGCAAATGCGGGAAATAAACACATACTACATCCACGGACGCAAGTCACATGTATCCATGGATATAGTAGAATCAAACTCTACTAAATCGTCATCTACCATGGGACATTGGCGTGCTCTTACGACGAGAACATAGAAGACTGGGGCCCAAAGGCCAAAAAGATATATGTATTTATTTGATAGATGCTTGCTTGAGGAATATCAACTAGGTGGGTGTTCTTTATGAATACCCCACCATTCTGCCTTCCCTAGATCCGGGACAGGATCCTCTCTTCCCCAATTCTCGATATACCCATATCGAGAATTTGATCGATAGATCTTGACTTAACGAAAGGGTGCGGAAGTAATAGAGACGTCAGGCGTAAGAATTGAAAAAGCGAACCCGGAGCGGAAATCTTGCTTCAACAGGTGAAAGTGGAAAGTAGAGGAGGTTTCGTTGGACACGCACGGTTGACTTCGAGTGGGACGATGTGCATTGACATTCTACTGTACTCAGTGCTGGATCAGGTCTCTGCTTCCAACATGTTCGAATCTACAGGGGATAAGAAGTCATAAAAGAAATACAATAGTTGTTATTGTATGAGATGGTTGTAGAAGATACATGAGAAGAAAGGGTAGAGACTATCTACATAAGAGACGGGGAGTCATGTGACATTGAGAGATCTGAACACAACAATCATAGGCAATTGCCTTGAACCTGGGAGATGGAACCTACATGACCTCTCCACCAATCCTGTACGACACACGATAGTACAAAACTAGCGGTCGCGCCGACTACACCATATGGTACGGTGAAACCCGTGCAATGTCAGAAAAGGCTATCAACCTGGTTATCGTTGAAGCTAAGAAGGAGGGTATGGTGAGCGCTGGAGAAGCCCGACTACTGGGATACATAGGTATGTCTTAATAGACTATGTCTAATAGTACTTTTCTAACCATCCCTTTTTCTCCTAGGCATCGTTCACTAGGAGCGTAAAGCCCTAGGTAAGTTTAATACGGTTACCTACGGCATGGCTAGTAACGGAGAAGAATTTCGTTTCTTCCAAATGAACAATAACAGCGAAGTATGGTCAATTATTCAATTACTACTCGGGGGCAAGTGTCTGATTTATAAATAGTGGACAACAGTTTCCCACCGAATCGTCGGAAAACGTTACAATAAGGTAGTTGATCTTTTAACGTACATTATGCAAGGGGCCATCTCTCTTTCCACCTTCGTATCTAAGAACGTTTCGGCAGAGGACGACCCTATAACAGACGTTAGGATTGCTTTAGTGTAGCGGCCTACCACCGCCTAGGTATTGCTTACACTTTATTCTTATTCGCTTCTTGTTCGCTCTTATTCGCTCGCATCACCTTCTAGGTAGTGACTCTAGTTATGTAGAGGTACCTCATATAGTACTATCAAGCCTAATAAAGATATTAATACGAGATTGAGGCTTGTTAGTTTGCTCTTGATCAATACGCCTATATATATATCATATATGTCTAGTGTGGTTTTCTTTTCTCTAGTAGATTCATCAATCTTCAGAGCTTTATACTACCTCTAGAAATTCTACGAGGAAAATGGAACCAGGTGGATGCAAAAGAATAATTTCCAGATCTGCCCCAACTGACCCCTAAGTACCCTAAAGAGTTCAATGACGCTGATAATATGACGCCAATTAAATAGTCTTACTTCCTATAGTGAAGAAGCCATATATTCTGCTACAGCACTAGATTTTATGGCACTAGACTGCTACGAATATTTCTAGGAGATTGGATCACCTTCAAAGAAGACGATATCCGGTTAAATTGAGCCAATTGACAAAGGTGCCTCTGTAGAAATAGGTATAGTCTCTAATCTGCTTGGTCTAGCTGCAGCAGTACTGGCTAGATTGTGTTGGAGTTTCCCAAAGGATTAGCGCAAACCATGGTTGAGCTGTAAGATCCGGGGTAAACTGCAGGTGACATCAGCTGACAAAAAGCGGGTCGCCGGTGACCTAAGCTCAGGTGGGGTGGTGAGCTGACCTATCACTCTCGTGTACTCTCTTCTCACCATCTCGAATCATAGCAATTTCGACCCACAAGTCTTATTACATAAGTCCTGTTTCCATCCACCCGTAACTAACTAATGCGTGCCTCGCAGTGGCCACCATTCGCCCGGCTGATTTTGACGATTTCCACGTTATAGGACGCCAGACGGGCACTAAACAAGACCTTATTGGTTGCGAGTTTCTCACACATTGTCCGCCAGACCTCCCACCACGCCATCGCGTGCTCGCCCTGCTCGGCACAGCTGATATAGGAGATGACGCTAGCCCAAGCGAGGATGGGTGGTTTATATCAGATTTCTACTTGTTTCACCACCTCTTGGCCCCGTCATTCCCTCGATGTAAGTGTCTGATCCTACTATAATTCACTCTCTGCTAAAAGTGCGGGTATCACCAGCCCCCAACCAGATCTGGTTGACTTGCGAAAATCCCGAAACCCTTGTCGCCAAGTACCATGAATACAGTCATGGCGATTCAAAAGGTGAACGTCGGGTTGTGCTCGATAGCAAGAGGCTCCCAGAAATATCGGAGGCTGGGAATCTACGGGTTGTGCCCAGAGATCTCCTTCTCGAGCGATACCTAACCACCCTCCAAGAGCAAGCTGCCGAAGCAGCCCGCCTCGAAGAGCATCTTGTGCTGTTGCTATTCGGCCATGGAACCGAGGGATATGGTGTCGAGGTTGCGGGATCGATCCTTCATATGGGAGACTTACGTCGAGTGCTACAAAACAGGTCCCAAGTGACCGTCTTCACCACTTCTTGCTACTCCGGCGGCTGGCTAGTGCTCCCCGACATAAATCAACAGCAGCTCAACGCAACAGCAATCAAAGCAGCAGGGCCGAAAACCCAATCCTCATCGTGGCCCCACAGCGGAAGTGTTGGACGGGCCAGCGGCAGTTTGGCCGCCTCTGCAGTACTACGCTGCCTGATAGATGCCGACGATGAAATCGAAGAGAGGATTGAGCACCCGACATACATACAGCTTGCAAAGTCTGTATACGACTGTGTGAAGGGGATGGGATTGCTTGGCCATGAGCAGCAGATTCATTTCTCTGTAGAAAACGATGAATGGGAGACAAGCTATCAGCCCCGCCTCGGGTTGCCGCTTATGTCATACAAGGAAAAATGGCAGTCCCTACGCCAGGTTCCCCCATCTACATCCCAATCTTCATCCTCATCTTCATCCTCGTCTTCATCCTCATCTGCACCCCCATCTGTACCCCCATCTGTACCCCCATCTGCGTCCGCGGCACGCAGCCAGGCTAGAACTCCTGGACGGCGACTGAAACGTCTACAGTATCTCGCCCAAGAATACTTTGCCTCTCAACCCGGTGCTGACAATGCTGCTCCGAACGTCGGCTTGCACTACTGCCTGAACCAGGTTCTCAAGGGAGCCAGTTACCCCAAAGAAAAGGTGCAGGAATTGACGGAAATTACCGCGTACAGGCTGGGAGGTATGTATGAGGCCGACCACTTGAGAGAACAGATAGGGCTCGAATTTCCGTCAATCTTCGACACCGACCCAAATCAGGCACTTGGCAGGATACACGACAATGCTTTGATCATGAAAACTTGGTCAATGCTGCGCTTGTACGACATCAACACAACTCCGATCGGGATTCGCCGACCTTATGCCAAGCCGCTCCAGTACCTTACACTTGCCCTGGTCCAGACCTGTCAGTCCTGGGAAGCCATCGAGACGCATGTGAAGGCAATAGCCGGCGAGAAAAAGGCCTGGTATTGGTTCATCTTTAGGGCATGGCAAGGGAACCGGATCGCTCACGATGAGGGTGTGAGGAGGAGTCAACATGCTTTCCTGGAGGCATTTAAGAAGATCGGACAATCGAACTCTTGTTTTAGCTTTTCTCACTCTCCTTCTTCCCTTTGTCCTTATCGAGAATATTAGCTATGTCATGAATTATGGGCTGCAATGATTAGCTGGTAGCTTCGCAGGTTCATGACCAATACTCCAATACTTATTTCCCCACTAATTGCGTGCCGGTGTTTGTGTGCCAATATTAGAATGACACCTTTTTTGAATCAAATGGCAGATATTCAAAAAAGATAATGGATCAATCATGTTGGTGAAGTCGCACCTAGCACCACCCACTGTCCTCCCCTACACTGGCTTCTAACCGGGGTCGCAGTTTGCTAGTGTAGTAAGGGCTTCCTTGACCGGCCTCTGCTGTTTGGTGATGCCTATTAGCATTTTGCGCAAGTAATACGCAGCTAGCAATAGATTTCTGACCGCCGTCGAGATAGAGATAGTGAGTAGTGCTACGGAAAGGCGTAAAATATATGAAAATCTGCTAGAGAAAAACTAAAGGGAGGTTTTAAAGGAGGAGAACGTTTTATCTCTACTTAAACAAAAATTGAAATAGGAGATTCAACGTATAAAGTGAGCAGTTCGAATAGACGAGATTGGTTTAACGGAATAGTCCGAATTCTATACGGTTTAAGACTATTTTAGTAGCGCTTAAAAGCTAGATCTGATATCATATTTTCTGACGGCCGTCAGAAATATAATAGTGGAAATATGGGTGCATATAAATTTTACCTGGCAACACTACCAAATTGAATATATCAATTACTTACACTTGTTGACTACGATTGTCCCCCCAGTGCGGGGATCCGAGGGTCTAGTGCATCCAACTTAGCGAGAAGGTCGGTAACGTTGCCAACCGTGGCTCCCTTACAAATATGGTCGCCGGTGCGCGAAGCGGAGCCAAAAAAGAGTAGTAGTCGAAGGACATATCCAAAGCGGCAGCGAATCTCGCGCACCACGTGTCCACGAGTGCATTTGGAACCAGGACTGGGGTGGGGGCAAAGCGGACCTCCAACCCAGAAGCCTGCTTTTCGGTGTCCATGCGGTTGCTGAGGAAGACTAGAGAGAGAGCGGATAGGGTCTTCCCGAGTCCACAGTCGTCGGCCAACAGCCCCCCGCGAAGGGGAGACTCCTCCTGTTTGATCATCCAAGCCACGGCAGTTACCTGCCATGGCTTGAGTAGGGTGGGGGCAATCTCCTCACCTGGCGCAGGGGCCAAGGTGCCATGGTCGTCAGAGGTTGAAGCAATCTTCAGAAATGAAAAAGACACGGCTAAGGTGGGTGGGACGGCCGAGGTTTGTAGCTGGCGACGGCGTTGGTGGACGGTCTCACTATCGGTAGCGGTGAACTAGTGAACAAGAACCTCGTCACCAGGGGCAATAGAGTGTGGGAACTCAGGGCTTTCGCCATGGAGGGCCTCACTGTTGGCAATTAAACCGAGGCTGTGGGATGCTAGCTGAGGACGCGACGCAGGCAAGGCGTTCATGATAACCTGCGAGGACAGGAATCGAGGCGAGCATAGACAATCAAAAGCGCCTTCAGATCATCCTGGGTCAGCCGGGGGCGGCCAACGGCGGAGGTGGCCGGGCTGTTGAGGTAATTGCCAAGACCACTAACCAGGGTGGTGTAGAATTCGTCCGTGACTGTGGCGTCAGAGACATTCCTGGCTAGTTCGGGATCATCAATAGCTTCCTCGGAGAGCTCTGACTGAGCGGAGAGGGCTAGTACGTACTCAAGTCTGCTAACGCGAGTCGCGCTAGAGGCTGGAGGGGCAGAAGAGGAACCAGGGGCAGCAATTGGAGCGAGAAAAGACGGCAGGGTAGCCGGGGCATTATGTCCCCGGAAGGTGATAAACGGCTTAGTCTTGTAGTGGTGGGAGAACAATATCAAGACTTTCCGGGCGAGAAATGCCTCCTTAGCATCCATGCGGAACGGGGTATCTAGGAGCAGCGGCCGATGTCAGAAGGCCGGGTTAAGACGAACTGTCTATTCCACCATGCCTGGCGAATGTCAAAGAGGTTCGCATCGGTGACATTGAGGCTGTTCGTTGTAGGCGGCTTAGCATCCATTAGGGCGGCAGTGTAGTGTGGCAGGTTTTCGATAACCTGAGAGACACAGGAGTTGTTTGCGGTCTTTCGGTCTTTCGGCCAGTGAATGACTCTGGCACAGCAAAGGATGCCTTTCGATCTTGCAGAAGGCAATGGTGACTTTCTGGGTGGCCTCGTGCTTTTTCGAGCATAGTTCGTGCAACTGTGCTGTTGTTCCGTAATGGAGACATCCAGCAAGGCGGCTGCCTGCGCCTTCAAGGGTTTGAGGAGTGAAATTGATATTTCGATATCCACTAAGAGAGCGGGCCCCAGTAGTGGCGGATGATCCTGACTTCGCTGGTGCCATGTCGGGAGACTATAGCCGTGTGAGCGTAAAGCAGGTTAGCCAGGTTATATAAAAAAGGGACACAGAATACTGACGGGCGTCAGAGTTGAAAGTAATAGAAAAGTGAGCTGGGCATAGAATACTAACCTTGGAACGGGCGCTAGAGTTGAAGTAAGAGAATGAGTGAAATGAGCATAGAATACTGATAGGCGTCAGAGTCGAAAGTAAGAGAAAGAGTGAAGTAAGCGTACCTAGTGGACTAGGCCAAACTAGCTAGGGCAGAGAGGAGGGTGAAGTGGTAGGATGGTGCAATCGTGCACACAAGTGAGATTTGGCCGAATCTTTAGTGGACGAAATCAGAAGGAGAAATGTAGTAGTGATAGTTGAGATTGCTCGGGTGTGGATTGCTGAGGTTGAATTTGAGGGGTGGGTTTCCATGGAGGTTTTTGATCGGAATATGAGGGATGGGAGGGTTAGTCCTAAGACGGTGGCTAGGAGGGGGGTTGAGGCCTGGAGGAAGGTTCAGATTGAGATGGAGAGCAAGTCGAGACTTTCAGTTAAGGGGTGTGGGAATAAGTTAGATGTGGATGTGGATCATCATCAAATGCATCCAGTTCGATTCTCTGAGAGCTGGGGTTTTGACTATATTCAAGTCTAAAACTATGCACATCTGCAAAACATAAAACAAACACGCCGCAAATGATCCGAGAGTCTTCCAAAAGGGTATAGTATATCTGTTGAATATTCAAACAATGTGTAAATTCGTGATTGGGACGCCGCGAGAGCGCATGCTATATCTTCTCTTGACTCCGATGCCGCTTGCATGGCGTAGGAGATCGTATGTTTCATCTCCGCCGCCGACCATGACCATGCTGATGAGGTAATTCCGTGGAATGCCGCTGGCTGTCATTTGGGCTTCGTCGAGGTGTGGACGGATGAGAGTGGACTCGGCGCGGACAGCGGCGAGGGCAGAGCGAGACCCGGGTTGACTCGTTGACTCTTTCTTCTGCTCGCCGGAGCCGTGTGGTGGAATGTCGTCATATGAGACGACGACAATCAGCTTCAGCGCGGATCGCGTTGGTCGGTATGCCGGAATGTTGCGTAGCTTTTCCGAGAAGGTGCAGCCGCCACGCTTGATAACAAGGACTTCGTGGTTATGGGCAACCTCACGAAGAATTCGCTCGTTGCAGAGCTCGCCCGCGAAGTATATACTTGACCACGACAGGCGGTCTGTGGATGGGCTACCGAACAAGGACATGGTAACTGCATCTTCAATATCCGGAAGAGGGCTGGCCCCAACGCCTGTAGAGATAGCAGCGGGGAGACTCAGCCTGAGTGGGGCAGGTTCGGTCCGTTCATTATGAAGCAAAGACGACACCGAGTGCATCAGAGATGATAGCATGGCCCTTACGGTTGAGTCCGGGGAGTCAACAATTGCGACATCGTCGACCGAAGAGGCGGGGCTGTGGCCTCCGAGACGGGGCTCTGGCGGGTGTGGATTTTCTGGTTGAAGTGTTTCATCTCGTGGATGAGCCGAATCATTACGTCGGCGAGAGGGCTCTGGGAGAACGTCAATGACGAGGTCAAGCATGGCATTATCGCGAACACGGGTGAAATTCGGATCATACGGATCGACGACATCAAAGGTGATTTGGCGAGAGAGATATACCTTCTCATCTTTGCCTAATGGCACATTGTTGATCACCTGCACCCGGTACCCGTCTTCCTCCTCCCCAGTCGTGGGCGTCGGAATATCTAACCGTACATCTTGAACCATACTCAACCGGAGTCCTCCAATTGTTTTCACAAGCACCCCGTCTCGGACACGTTCCAGCGCCCCGGGGCCCATGTTTACGCCGCCTGGGAGCGATGGGAATGAGATGTCGAGCGTCGGCCGAACGGCCATAGGCGCGCTGGTGGCGTTGAATGGGACTAGCTGAGGTGGCAGCGTCCACGGGTAGAATGTGTAATTGGTTGGTGATGAAAGGTCAGATACAAAGACACTTTGATGTCCAGACGAGTCTTCCAAAATAGGACCTGCCGCCACTCCTCGATCAGGCATCAGGTCCAGGCGTGCCAAGTTGGCAGCATGGAAGATGTCTGTTCGGGATGCAGTGGAGGACACGCCGAAGAATGGAGAGGGAATAATTTGACATACTCCTTCGGCGATGCCCTCGCCCTGAGATGGGATTTGCTGCTGGTGAGGCGGGGATGCTTTTCTCGGTATGATGAGAGGGTGGCCTTCAGTGTTGAAAACCCAGGGGGCATCAACCTTGTTCAACGGATGGTCCTGGTCAAACAGCAGATATAGGTATTTAGCTGTCTCTCCAATGAAGAAACTCTCCATCCGGTCAATGAGCTCGCCAGTCAGAACATTCCGAATGCCAGCCCAGCCACACTTGGTCCAGCAACGGCGCTTGAGGTCGCTGAGAACCATCTCTCCGACATGCAGATACCAAGGATCTTGAGTCGCCCGGTAAATGTAGTAGTTCGACTCGATGAACTCGGGCCGACCTCCATACCACGGCATACCGTTGTCGATGTCACCAGTAGCCACGTTCCATCGCTCGGGGATGCCCGAGTAACGTGTCCAGATAGCGGTAGTCAGCAGATGGATCTGGATAGCCTCATCTACCTTTCCATCCAGGGCGAGAACTCCCGGATAGAAAGCGCTCAGGCTATCGATCCAGAAAGCTCGCGTGGCACCGGTAATCACATCCCCTACAATAAGGTGGGGATGTTGATAACCTTCGCCTCGGAATAGGTGGCGATTGATCGCAGTATGCGATTCTTCCCAAACTTGTCGGAAGGCCTCGGCGGTATGCTGGTATTCTGATAGAGGAGCATAGTACGAGTCCAATGCTGCCCAAGGACTGTCGGAGTTGAAAGGCAGACGCTCGCCCTCGGACAGGAGAACATAAGCTTTGACAGCATACTCGTAGAAACTGTCAATGCCAGCGCCAATCTACTGACGATTAGTCTATGCTTGTACCTGTAAAAAAGAATCCTGCTTACCCCGGCCCATGGTCCCACCCATTTTCCCGACTCGACATCAATGCCAAATCCAAGTAGCCCGATGTCACTCCGGCGATTCCAGACTGCCCAAAATGCCCTCTTACCCAAGTCCTCATACCGCCCATCACCGGTGAGTCGACTCAAGACGGTCAGCTCAAGAACCAGACTGCCTGCACCGGCGCTACAGGTCTCAGCGGGCTCAGTCTCCGTGTTTTTGGATTTGCGCTTGCCCTCGGTACCTCGGACATTGAGATTTAAAGGCGCATTCTCGTAAAATGGGATCCCATGGCGCAGGTTGACTCGAGGGTAGGGAAGGCCAGTCTCCGTGTAGAATGCGGGAAGCAAACGCTGGGCCAGATCCACAGCAAGTCGAAGCAGTTGGCCATCATATACAAAGCCATTGCTCCATTGAATGCCATGGTCACTTTTTATAAACATACTTTTATCCCATGCGCCGGCGAAGGCAGCTTCCCGTTCTGATGGCTCGTATCCGGCGATGGGTAGCTCGCCGACGGCGAAAAGATGGGCACTGAGTAATCCACCTGAAATAGGTTAGCAGTAGGACATAGTAGCCGGGAATCGAGCATAAGGGACAGATCGATAAGCCAGGAAGGAAAAGAAATCATACCCAGACCCCGAATCACAGTTTCGAACAATTGTACTTTGCTATCCAGATCAAAGCCCCTCGATCTCTCACCCTGACCAGCAGGGCCGTCTGAGCCATCACCATACAGCCTAACAAAGCCCTCGACACCATCCTGGAAATGCGCCAAGGCTCGCTCGCCACTGTCCGGGCTCGAGGACAGGATGGCTAGCGTCGACAAGCTGTCAATCAAGGTCAGAGAATAATTCCCTAGCACATCATTATTCTCCGGATTCTTCTCATCGCGAACAAGAGCGCCGCATGTCAGGGCGCGTAATTCGTCTTCGGGGAACGCGTATTGAAGGTAGTTCTCGAAGCCATGAAAGAACATGCGCTCAGTTTCTTTTCTGCGGGAGGACAGGGGTGTATTAGTTGATTTGGGTGACACTTGAAGATGACTGAGGATAGATATACCTTAGTTCTTTTACTTGACTGTCTCGCATGCCATGAACGAAGGTGAGCCATAACAAGATGGCCCAAACCACCATGCAGGCGGAGCGGAGGTTGAACATCACCCCCGTCGCGTGCGCTTCAAGCAGATCTGAGCGCCGTAGGTTTCATGGGGCGCCAGATGGCCTTGTATTTTAAGGCCTCTCTCAAAAGGGGCTTTAATGAAGTGAAACCCTCGGCTTGTTCGAGTGGAGTGGGAAGTTGGGGATTCGGCCAGATAAGCCTCTGGAATATCTTTTTTTTGCCCGCTTATTGCATCATCTCCTTACCTACTATACATTGTCTGTACAACTTATAGAAGGTTGGAATCTTTATAAAATTACCAGACGTTGCTCGTCTTTTTTCTGTAGATTTTGAACATTTTACTATCGACTTCAAGGGCTATCCTACTAAACCATGGATACAGATACAACCATCTATCGCATACCATACTTTGCCATAGAACACGGTTAATGTATGAAATGTCTTAAACTCCAAGTCCATGAGGCGACATCCAACAAGTACACTCTTGGAATTGAAAAAGATGTCAACATGAGAGGCCGCTTCGAAACAATCATTTTTGCTGTCCCCCGTGCCCAAGCCATATAAACCCATGTAAAACCAACTCTAGTTTGCCACAAGAATACTCCCTTTGATGCCCAACGACTGAGACCGAACTGTAAGCTCATATATCAGTAAGAAGATGCACCGAAAACATGGATCCGCTTACAACTCACAATTTCTCTATTCACTAAAAGAGACCTTCTCTGTTTGCCCGGAAATGTGTGCATCGACAGAATTATTCGATCCCAGACCACAATTTGCTGGTGGTAGAGGGACCGTGTAAGCTGGTCCAACGAAGATATCGTAACCACTGCCCTTTGAATCCCTGAATTCACGGCAGAATGCCAAAACCATTTTGGCTATGCAGTAAAGTTGTGAGCATATCATAAGAGCTTCGAGAAGAAGCAGGGTACGGTGAAGGGTGCTGGAGGAGTGGATATTGCTATCTACGTTGCAGTGGTTAGTAACGAAGCTATCAAGCAACTCGCGTAAGTTCCAGTATTCGACATAAGACTCACCAATGACACAAATTCCCAAGCAGATGATAGAAAATCGGTCAGCCCGCGGGTGCCACTTTCTCGATTCTGGCTCGACATTTCGGACGAAAGAGAGCTGGCGGTACATGACGGTGTTATCGGCGAGGACTTCCACCTGGTAGTAGTGAGGGACTCCAGGAGTATACCCTGGTGGAATGGACATTTTGCAATACTTGAAGAGTTGGTTTGAGGTGGAAGAAAGGAAAAGGAAGAGGGTGATGGAAGATGTCAAGAGTTGAGTCGTTCCTACCTCGGAATAGGAAGGTACATGAACTACTACTATGTATTAAGCTTCATCTAGATTGATGAACTGAGTGAAGAGAGAAGGCTATGTATAGATTCGAGAACCTCAAGATACCAGAAAGCAAACCAAAAACACTAGGGAAAAGAGATTTAAAAACAGCTACTTGAAAGTGCCTGAGACTTGTCGCGAATCGCGAATGATATCTTTCTCTCGAATAAAACTTGAATCAACAAACAAGTTGCGGAATCATCTGAGATGGTAAATGCGACAACTCCATCCACGGATTTAGTTCCCGTAAGATGAGCAAGGGCATTACGATGGTCATCATCGTACACATTGCGGCGTTAGAGCCTGCCATGATTGAAATAGTTCCTACGGCGAAGTTAGTAACGAGGGCTTCAAGTAGCTTGTGAGATCCTCACTGGAGTCTGGGAGCACCATCAAGGCTATATTGTGGATTATAAAGTGGGTGAACCTTTTCTCTGGCTCTGATTGGATTCTTAGGGTGTGGTTCAAAGAACTGAAGGACAAAATTCAGTAGAGAATGGAAGTTGAAAGTCTGGAGAGAAGCAATGCATACATTTGCCATAGTTGGGGGAACGCAAGTAGGTAACATCGGACTCCTTTTCACGACTTTTGTTGCCGGCCAGCAGACCAACGACGCCAAGAACAATAGATTTTCAAGCTGATCAGCAGGGTCTGAAAGACCGCCATCGTGCACAATGCGGCGTCACGTCCAACATACACTAGGACAACTGCTATAGTGGAGTTAGCAAGGGACTCGAGTCGCATGTACATAATTGGCTTACTGGAGACAGAAAGAGGAAACGAGACCATGAAGCAGGTATCGAGGCGTGTGGACCATTTTTCTGGCTCTGATGGCGTGTTTGAGGTGAGGTGCGAAGGGGAACGGGTTTCTGCGGGCTCGCTGCAGAGGGTCTGGATTTTGCAGTCATCTGGCATTGGAATGATGAAATCGCGAGGCTGGGCCATGATACTGTAGATGAAATAAAGAAGCCTTCAATTGAAGTAGTAAAGATGAAGTTCAGTTGAAGTGGAAGTTGAGGTGGAAGTTGAAGCTTCAGGGAAAGAGCAGAGTTCAGTTGGATCTCGCCCATTCTAGTCAGGGTTTACTTCGTTTAGGTGATTCTACAGTTTCTCAAATATTCAGACACTTAAAAAGACATTAGAGAAGACATTGGAAAAAGGCATCGTAGTACCGGTCTTCAACATTATCTTGATCAAGCTGGATATTTAGATTATCCAACTGCTACATCGTCCCAAGGTCCGCTCAATACAGACGCCACGCAAGACTCTTCTTTTAGATAGCCAGATATATTCAAGAGTAGGATTACTTTGAAACTTGTTCGTATTGTACAATTTATATATCCAGATATATAGCCGGACAAGTCACAACCTCTGGAAGCCAGAAGATGCTCTGACGTGATAGCACAAGCGTCCAGATCGGGAACTGATGCACATGGCATGTTTGAAAAAATGAATTTGACGCCCGCTGATCTTCATTAAAACATTAATACCTATCATATATGCTTATTTGCCCAGCTCTCCGAGCATCAGGTTCCGATCGGAGGAGCAAGAAATGACTGTGATTACGTTAGCAATTGTGGGTTTGCTTGCAAACATTTATATACTCACTGATTGGCTCATCATTGGGAGAGAAGCGCACGTCATTGACAGTGCCCTTATGACCGGGAAGTTTGTACAGCAATTTACCAGTCTTGGCCTCCCAAACGACCACACTTCGATCACCACTGCCTGCAGCAATCTTCTCGCCCTTGGGATCCCAGCTGGCGCGGATGAGGTTTTTCTCCAGTCCGACAGGAGCGCCATCGTAGGTCTTCACTTGCCGGTTGGTAGGGGCGAAGGGACGAATGTCCCATGTGCGAACAGTAGAGTCATGGGAGTTCGACAGCAAAGTCTGTGAGTCTGGCGAGATTTGTAGCGATGTGATGGTATCTGTGTGTCCGGTCATCGAGTAGACTATGGCCTTCTTCCGAATATCCCAGGCGTGGATTGTGTTGTCAATACCTCCACTGTAGATCTCATTACCAGCTTCGGACAATGCCACTGCGGTGATAGGGAGTTCAGTCTGGAGGTAGTCCAGAGCATCCTTCTGCCGAGGATCCCAGATGCCGATGGACCCATCATCACTACCACTAACTAGAAGCTCCTGTCCTCTTTTGCTGATATCGAGACAGTTGATGATCTCTTCATGGCCCACGTGACGGCGTACTCGTTCTCCAGTCTCGACATCCCAGCTTCCGAGGGTCATGTCTGCGGAAGCTGAGAACAGTGCCCGCGAATCGCGTGACCACTGAAGATCTAACACAGCTCCCCGGTGGCCTGTCAATTGGCCATAGTTTTCGCATTGTCCGTACGTATTCCACAACACTATTCAAGGAATCTCGATCAGTAGCATATTCAGCGGCCGCATTCCCGGATAAAGATGAAACATACAAATGGAGCGATCCATGGCTCCAGATGCCATATGTTGCGCAGTAGGGTCGAATCGAACTGCAAACACTTCGCCAGAGTGGCCTAGTAGGTCCTTTCTGTTAGCGCGTGTATAGCGACAAATTGGCGACAGTGTCTTACCGGTGAGCTCCATGATAGGAGCATCCAAACCACTTGTGCGAGGAACCTGTAGACTCGAATAAGCTGGTTATATTCTGTGGAAGCCCCTTGACCTTCAAGGGCAAGTTTCGCGCATACAGATTGAATGAGGGCTCCATTTTGCGAGGAGCCCTTCACAAGCTCGGTTCCTGCGTTTTCGGCGGCCTTATTCCGCTTGACCACGAGCTGGTGCGAGGTCCCAAAGCCCTCTGGAGCAGGGCGCTTTTCACCAGACATTATTACAGTAAGCACCTCGGTGGATTTGGAGAGGTAAAAGAATCGATTGGTGACCAATCGCGACCTAGGGCGAAAGTAGTGGAGAGCAAAAGTTCAGGGTGAGCTGCAGGAAGAACGATAATCCCACCTGGGCTCGGCGGTGAGCGGGCTGTGTCCGGCGGACGAGAACGGCCATCGAGACTTGATCTGTATTGGGTTATTTTTGCCCAGCAGAAAATAACACAGCCATTTACCCCACTCACCAAGCACCATCCATATCAATTAGAAGGCGGAGAGAAAGACGGAGAGTAAAATCAACCAATAAAACCGAAGTCGTGAATGGTCGGTTTTGCCTGCCGTAGAATAACTGTGTACGATCACGGACTCCCGACAATCACCCTGATCAACAGTTGACTGTCACATTTACCTGTGCTTGTCTGGACGTTGTTCGTTTTCTTATTTTACCTACAACCGAGCTATCAGAGCATAATCACGAAGATGTCGTCAACAAAAACCTCAAGAATAGGAGAAGAGTAGGTGAACTCCCAAGGTTGGATGTCTTATCCAGTGGACCTTGTACTAATCAATGGCCTTCAAACAGAATATGGAAGTCAGTAAGCCCCGGTGCCCGCTTACTGGGACCAAGATGCGATGACCAATTGATTTCACTATATCTCCGTCCTCGAACCCGAACTAATCGGCTTTCTTCACATTCGCAGAACAAGAGTCGATAAAGTCAATGCGGAGCTGGTCACATTAACCTACGGGACGATTGTCGCACAATTATGCCAAGACTACGATGGCAACTACCAGGACGTCAACAAGCAGCTGGACAAAATGGGATACAACATCGGAATGCGACTTATTGAAGACTTCCTGGCCAAGTCAGGTGTCGGCCGATGCGCCAACTTCCGGGAGACAGCTGATATGATCGCAAAGGTGGGAGTCACTTTAGGATGTGGAGATAACAAAGCTATGATGGCTGACAATCCGAACAGGTTGGCTTTAAGATCTTCCTGAACGTCACACCTACAGTCACAAACTGGACGAGTGACAACTCCCAGTTCTCCCTTATCTTTGAAGACAACCCCTTGGCGGACTTTGTGGAGCTTCCGGATGATGGGCGGGCCCAGGACGAGCTATGGTTCTCCAATATTTTGTGTGGCGTCCTCCGAGGATCCCTGGAGATGGTAAACACCCCGGTCAATTGGAGTGGGTTCCCTTCTTCTGGGTCCGATCACTGACCCGGCTTTTAGGTCCAAATGCAGATCGAGGCACACTTTGTCAGTGACGTGCTTCGCGGAGATGATACCACGGAGATGCGGGTCTCCCTCGTTCGATACATTGAGGATGAAATGCCACCGGAGGAAGAGTAATGACCTTGCGATATCTTGTGCATCTACACTACTTGAAGAATGGGCGTCCTGGGGTTCCTCATTGGTTATATTTTTAGGGGGATGGGTCTTTTTGCCCTTACTCGTCATTATTGCTTCCGATCATCACTCTATTTGTGCACCTGTCTTTTAACAAATTAGGCTTTATGATGTATCCTTACGCTAAACCACGCGATTTATCACTGGCATAGGGGTCGATACATTAGAAAAATCCATTTTAACTTCAGATCTAGAAAAACTGGGGGATAGGGCAAGGTTTGTGGTTAAGTTGCGATCAGTCCATAGAAATCGCATGATCTCCCTTTTTCCCTTTTTTATATGTGTAGATCCTCGGCGAATCTGCCGCTCAGGAGCTTGATCTGTATGGTCATAACCAGACATGTATTGTAGGGTAAACCTGCAGTTCGGTCAAGTATATATAGTCGCCCGTGGGCACCTAAATAGCGGTCAACGGAACATCCGAGTCAGTGTATATGTCAAGTACTGTATGTTACAAACACAACCACATACCGGTTCTGTACTACTATCTCCGCCGCCCCTCAACTCTTTACAGATCGAATTTCCCTCCTTTTCATCTTTTCTCAACCTCTACCTAGGCAGGACTTTTCCACAGCAATTGATTCTCCTCTCAATTTGTTCAATTCTCTTAGATCGCTCCATCTTCGGTATATTCAACCTTCGTGGTGGTCGTAAAATAGTGGCTTACCCTACATTTTAGACTCCCGCTGGGATCCATCGCAGGGCCCATCAGGTATCATATCACCCACCCTTCTGACTTTACTTCCTTCTTCCCTTTCTTTTCTGGATCCGTTCAAACCACCATATTTCCACATATATCTTCCATTTCTTTTTCGCTAATTCAGTGACTCCTTTTTCTCTTTTGTCGCAGACCGCAAATTCAATGGTTATCAGATCGGTGCATTCCCAGAAATACGCTTGACAGCGCCATCCCCAGCCCCGACCTCCGACTAGGTTGATCCGCTCCGAACAAGCGATTCTCCCGCAGAGCGCAGCGCCTGTCAATGTACGTCCCCCCGGCTCTCTCTCACTGAATCCGTCCTCCTCTTCCCACTGTGAGATCCACATCTCTTAGACTCCCCTTTTCTATTCTTAATCAGTTCCTTTCCCGCCCGTTTCTTGTTCTTGGGTTTTCTTTTCTTTGTACACGGGCTTATTGCTCTCCTGTCCGCGATTCTGCCCGATCGGGTGTCTGGCGCCGCCCCCCCAATACCAACCACCTCACTTGTGCGCTTTTTCCGCCTCCTTGTACCTCCGTCGTCGCCCACCCCATATAGACTACGCACTTGCTCCTACACTTGGTCATCTGAAGCGTTTAATCCTCTGGCAAGCGCTCACCAATTTCTCCAGTCAGAGACACCTAGCATACTTCGTCTGCGCCTCCGAGCCTCCATCCTCTCGTTTCTACCCCGTCGCGTGGTTTCTCCGGAAGAAGACGCCACTGGTTATCCTGAGCTCCCTCATATTGGCGATCATATAACCTTTTGATTCGCGCTGTTACCTACGCGCGTTGCTCAGCCTGCGAGCCTTCGATATTCCTTCGAAAGCGCTGACCGCTTTTCCTCCGCATCCATTCCCACGCGTCGCTTCTATCACCCCGCGTTAGGCTTGATAGCCTGAGACGGAGGTCGCGCGTCGGAAGCTTCATATATCTGATTTGAAAATCCCACGATACCACAGGCAAGGGTGGCTGCAGTTCCACCGTTCGCCACCATGAACCAAATGAATGTCGGGATGAACCCCGGGGCCGGGGGCCCTGTGGGTGGAGTTCCTATGATCAACAACGGGTCCACGGCTTCTCGTAACGACGGTACTATGAACAACCCCGAGATCATGATCAACAACCTCAACACGTATATCTATGATTACTTTTTGAAGCGTGGGTACCATGACTGCGCCCGCGCTCTCTTGCAAGATGAATCCATCAAACTCAACACCGACAACAACCCCAAGACGAGTCCCGGAAATCGGCGTGATGGAGACGTCAATGGCATGGACCCTGATGCTATGATGACCGATGGGAAGGATGGTGAGAAGATCAAGATTCCAGATGATCTCCCTCGCCCAAATCTTCCCAACGAAAGCGCCTCCTCATTCCTTCTCGATTGGTTCAGCCTTTTCTGGGAGTTCTTCTGGGCTCAACGCAAGAAGGGAAACAGCCATGATATCAGGCAGTACCTTCAGCACAACCAGGTGTGTGAATTATCATCTGTATCAAGGATGTGGATCATGGACTAATCCTGAACTTTAGAACTTCATGCGTCTGCGAGAACAGCAGCACAATCAGTTCATGAGGCAGCAACCCATGATGCAAGGCCAGATGAACCAGCTCCGGAGACAGAATGGCATGGTGCCTCCTAACCTGCAGAAAACAGTGCTGCAGAATAACACCACTGGACTGTATGCTCTATCTGAATATATTCTTCCCCATGCGGAGTGTTGAGTTGGAGGTGGACGTGCTGATGGGATTCTTTCTAGCTCACAACAACAACAATTGGCGCAGTACCAAAAGAACCAGCAATTGCAGATGATGCAGCAAATGCAACGTGACCCGGACATGGAGATGGCTGGGCATCGACCACAGTCACCAGCGTCTGCCGACAACGCCCCCTCGCCGTCGAAACGCCCACGTCTTGAAGGCGCTGTCAACGGACAGCAGCTGGCACCGAATGGCCGTGGACAGGGACAAGGAATGCCTGGACAGCCCAACCCGCAGGCTATAATGATGCAGAATGGAATGCAGAGGGGAATGACTCCGGCGCAATTCCAGCAGTTCCAGGGACAAGCTGCGCAGCAGAAGAATATGCAGGTATATGCTCAAAACTTGGCCCTTCATCACTCTCGCTCAGCATCGAATTCCCAGGGTATCCCGAATGGTGGCATGATGAATCCCGGTGTTATGGCAAATCAGGCGGATCTGATGCCGATGCCGGATGGCCAAGGAATGTATCCCATGGCCGGTGGTCCTGAGTACTACGGTGCAAACGGTCAACTCGCCCAGGTCCGACCCGGTAATTTACAGACACCTGGCAGTCAGCAGGGTAACCATGCTCTTCAGGATTATCAGATGCAACTTATGCTGCTTGAACAGCAGAATAAGCGGCGCTTGATGATGGCTCGTCAAGAGCAGGATAGCATGGCCCGCGCTGATGGCCAGCCCCCGATGCCCGGCCAAGGAGTTTTGCCGCCAGGCGCTTCCCCGGGCAGCAGGGCGGGCACGTCTCCCAATCCTAGCGACCAAATGAAACGAGGCACGCCTAAGATGCCTCCGACTGGACTTCCCGGGTCGCCAAGCGCCGGCGACATGTCCCAGCGTGGATCACCTGGATCCATGAACCTCAACGGTGCTCCGATGCCCCCAGATATGGCGGCTCAGTTCTTCCCTGGATCGAATATGCGACCTCCTAGCTCTAACCCTGCCTTCACTGGAGCTCAAATGGGTCAGGCGATCCCGGCCAATGCCGGCCAGCGTATGCCTAGTGGACAATGGCAGCCAGGGCAACCCCAGATGCCTCCGCAGCATTCACCTGCGAACCAGCCCCAGGCTGGGACCCCACAGGAACGAAGCGCGATGCCTCCGCCCTCGGCGCCACCTGTAACGGGTCCTAACGCTGGTCGTGGCCAGCCGGCGTCACCTCAGACTGCTGGTAACGCGCCACCAACGCCCCAACAGGCTACCAAAGCTGCACCAAAGGGCAAGAAGGAAACTAAGGACACGCGCAAGGTTTGTATACTCTCAATGCTGTTGTGATCTTTGTATCCGCTAACGTGAATTCAAGCGACCCAACAAGAAGCAAGCTGCCGCTGCTGCTGCCAGCGCGGCCGCAGGCGCGACTCCATCCACCGAAGCCGCAGAGCCACCAACCCCATCGACTCCTGTCACGCCGCAGCACCCTAACTCTTTCAATCCTAAGAATGGAGTGAATGGAGTGAACGGCCCAGCTCAACAGGCACAACCTACCTCGGCACCTGCTCCTCAGGCGATGGTGCAGCCGCCCCCTGACCAACAGCAATCCTTCACTGACCTCAGCATTCCCGATGTATGTTCTCCCACCTCTGTGTCTCCTACAAGTATGCATTTACTCACCCTATCAAAGGCTTCCGCATTCAACCTTGACTTCAGCGCACTGGAAAATCCAGACATTCTGGAGAACTTTGACTTTGACACATTCCTGAACACAGATGCCGATGCCACTACATTTGGGTTTGATCCCAGCATATCCTATTCGGGCGATGGTGTTGAGACAGGTGCTGGTGACAGCCTGTGAACGTGTAAAAGTCTTAACGGTCCTTCAGGTGCTTCACCTCCGATATACCCTTGTTTGTACATTTGATCATTGCTCTAGTGCGTTCTCGCGGATACTCGACCTGTTCTGTTTTCTTCTTGTCTCCCAATTTATCTGGATATGTGTTTTCTGCGCATGTGCTGTTGTGAGATTGGCGTTGGGTGTACCTTGTTCATCGCATCCTCTCCTATCCCTCCCCTTGCTCATCCTAGGAAGCTAGCATCCTCCAACTGATACCAGGGACTGCTTGGACCGGGGCTCTTCTGTATTCGAGATTAGTGCACTGTGATCTACGAGTTTTCTTGGCTTCTCTTCCTTTCTTTCTATTATTACTATTATTACTTGTGGATGTGGTTACTTAATTCCTTGCTTTGCCTTGTCTGTACGGGCGACGTTGATACCTCTCAGTATGAAGTTCAGTTCCCTACGGCTGATCGAGTGCACTCTCGTCCTTTCATTTTCAACGATTTCTTTTTCTTTTTCTTTTTCTTTTCTCTTTGTCACTCATCTTGTCTCTTTTGATCCATCTCGAACAATCTTCCAACAAATGCCGGCCGTTTTTTCTTTTCATTTTGTCTTTTATTACCAGTATCACTGGTTGTGGACTCTTCCGCCTCTACTTCTCTCCGCCAGGCTATAGAGCCTGTGGTTTCTTACTCTTTTCTCTTCTCTTTTTCTTTTCTTTTTCTTCTCTCTACACTTTGCCTGTACCCTCGGATCAGACCCGGATACCCCCCAACCAGCCCGTGTCATCACTAAAACCGGACACAGGAGTGACTAGAGGGGAAATGGGACTGCAAAAAGGAATCAACTCAAAAGAATCAGGAATTTCGCGACTCTACTTGGATGGTTGTGACTGGTGTTGGTGTGTTGATGGGATGTGACCGGGTTGATATTGGATTTGGATATTCCCCTAGCAGATTCCAGGAGTTATGATGTCGTTATGGTCATGCGTTTCATGTTATTTTCTGGTCTCAAAATATGGATCTGAATTCAATCTATGGACAGTTTTCTACGGTGTCCAGTGTCTAGTCTCCATTATTGGGGGTTGTACATGTAGACCTGTGTGATAATGATAGCATAAGCAAGTCAATTCTCAATTTAGTGGCCAGATCCTAATACAGAATTCACAAGTGGACTGTTCACTACCAGTCTCCAACTCTTCTTTTTACCAAAACGCACGTAGTATGTCATCTGGCCATGCTACTTTCGCTAATCGGGAAGTCCCAGGCTTCACATAAATTCCTCCCTTCTCTCCCTTTTCATCTTCCCTTTTCATCTTCCCTTTTCATCTTCCCTCTTCATCCTCTCCCTTCTATCCTTTCTCTTCCCTTCTCCTCCATCCTGCATCTCCTTATCATCCATCCATCCACCATTCATTCTTCCTTCCCTCCTCCCTCCATCCCCTATCCCCAATCCCCTGTCCCCTGTCCCCTGTTCCTTGTCCTCTGCCCTCTACTCTACCCTTCATGCATCCTCCCATCCATCTATCCCCCATCCACATCCATCCTGCGAAGAACACTCTTTATTTGTTCCCCTCTTTGTCTCTTCCATTCTTCTCTGCTGCTCATGTAACAATGCGCCACTCCTATAAACATCGAGACATGGATTTCTTGCTGTTTTCTCTCATTCCAAACTTCATGAAGTTTGGGGGATGGAGTCTTCTTCTGCCAGTCTTGCCTTGACGGCAGACACCATCAAAACCCAAATCCTGTGAACTTTTTCACCAGAGACAGCACTCTGGTTTGTCCCATGAAGAGAACTCCGAGGGCATTTTCAGAAGCTTGATTCATTGCACTTCGAATCTCGCTCATGAAACGGATACTTACACTGTGCAAGCCAGGACCTCGGTCCACTTGCTTATTCTGAATCGACCTTTGAACCTTTTCGCTGGGGACAGCCCCCTGGCTTTAGATAGTATGCAGAATCAATCATAATTTTCTCATTTGATTTCTCTTTGTAGAGGCTCTGTAGTGTATTGATAGCTCTTGTCCTTTACTGTGGGACTCTGGACGCCTCAAAGAGGAAAAGTGAAGCCCTACCAAACTTTGCTGTCAACTCAAGTCCAGTAAGGATCTGTAAACTTGTAGGATGTATCAGGGAAATACAAATATCAAGAAATGTATATCCCATGACACATGTTGAAATTGCCAGAACGATCCACAACTCCTGCAGCAGTTCGAATGTCGTGGGATTTGCTGATGTCAGCACTTGGAACATACCGTAGTAGTCTAAGCCCCTTGCAATGCTACCCAGGTCGTCTTTTTGCTCTCACAGTCAATGCTTTGGGACACTAGAAAGTAATTGGTCGTAGTGCTTTGGATGGTTCTATGTCCTTGTCATGTCTTTCGAGGTGTCTTCTCCGATCTTCTTTTTACTCGTACTTGTCGAGATATTTCCCCTGATGTAGCCAACTACGCGTTTTAGAGAGTTCCTTTGCATTTCCCAAATACACCAGAACCTCTCAATGCAATTACTTATGTCTTTATGTTACAGAATCCACCATGGAGGGTGGTGGATCATAGGCCAGTAGACTGGCATGTACAGGCTAGAAAGGAAAGAAACAGGGAAACTACTTGATCAAACTTTCATTGGGTTCATACTACATACAGGTTCAGTTGTGACAATTCATCATCCACAAATATCCATATTTAGGACAATGCAAGTCTTAAATCTCCTTGTCTGCGGCAGCATCTTCGGCAGGAGCAGCGGGTTCGTGCGAAGGCGCGGAGTTGTTCGAATCCTCTCCGTGTCGTTGGGCAACCTCGGGAGAGACTTGCTCTTGGTTCGTAGCATCTGCGTTGGCGGTAGGAAGCGAAGTAGGCTCCGACGGGGCTGGAGCTACGGTAGTGGCATCAGAACGAGGTGCGGTACATCTGGCTCTTTTCGGACGAGGCGCGGTCCTTGGTCCCGCGGACTCTTTGCTGACGTTCTTGCCCCGGGCTGGGCGGCTGTTGGAGCGGGAGCGGGATCTGTACGTGCGCTTTCGGGGCGCGGGCACACAATCCTCGGGTTGCGAAACGCCAGCGAACCGAATGGGTCGGATGGGTCTCGGGTGATGCAGATTGGCATTGCGAAGCTGCTGGCGAGCAGGGAAAAAACCAGGCATAGACTGCTGACGCCGCCAAGGAGGAAGAGAAGAGTGCGGAGCAGTAGGTTGTTGAATGCCAGCAGATGGAAAGCCTGCAACGGAAGGAGCATTCGCACGCCGCCAAGGAGGGGCAGGGAACTGGTGAGCAGCAGGCTGTGACATGCCAGCAGAGGTAAAGCCTCCAACGGAATTATCGTTCATACTCTCCCAAGGAGGGGCAGCAAAGTGGTGAGCAACAGGCTGCGGCATGCCAGCAGAGGTAACGCTTCCAACAGGATCATTGTCCGAAAGCCGCCAATGAGGGACGGAATCCTGAGGAGCAGGAGGTTGGTTGTTCATATTCTGTTGAGCGTATGTAGGAGGACTAGGCAGCCCGTGATACACGAACGGAGCGCCAAAAGAAGGGGCATGTACAGAATCCGCACCATGTGGCGGCTGGGTCGACGAAGCAGACATGGTACTCGCGGACGCAGAACCCTGAATGTATGTCAAACCAGGGATTGAAGGTCGAGCAGCATGCTGGCCCTGAATATGCGGATGCTGCACAGGCAATCCAGACGGGAATTGGTTCTGACGACTCCAAGGTCGCTGGCCCTGAATGTATGTCAAGCCAGGGATTGATGGTCGAACAGCAGGCTGGCCCTGAGTATGCGGATATTGCACGGGCAATCCAGAGGGGAATTGGTTCTGATGACCAGGCATAGCTATTGGAGGACCATGCTGACCCTGGTTATGAGTGTTTTCCATAGACATTCCAGGCAGAGAGATAGTCGGTGGAGGAAACCTCAACATCGGAGAATCACCTGTAGCCGGGTTGCCAGCCATGGGCTGGGGATGGATGGAGGTGTTGTTGCGAGAGACGGACTGCAAATGCGGGGTCAATGACAATGGCGAAGGGCTGTTCAGTTCGTCGTCCTGAACTGGACGAAGACGGGGACGAGCAGGTATCTGCATGCCTGGAAGGGAGACAGACAGAGAGGTTGATGCAGAATGCTGGCCAGTAGGGACAGCAGGTGTCTGCATGCTTGGCATGGAGACAGAGACAGAGGTTGCTCCAGGCTGCTGGCCAGTAGGAACAGCAGGGTTAGAAGACGAAGCAACAGGCGAGCTTGGGGGTGTACCCAGCCCAGCAGGGTTCGAGGACGAAGGAATAGGCGAGCTGGGAGGCGTGCCCATGCCAGGCAGAGCTTTCTTGTTACCAGACATCTTGTCCAGGTATGAACGCTCGAGCAAAGAGAGAAGATAGCAGATTCCCCTATGAAGAGGGGACGTCTGGGGGATGGGAAACGAAGACGTACAAAGCAGCGAGGGGGAGGGGAAGAAGAAAAAAGGAAAAGAAGAAAAGAAGAGGAAGAGGGACGAAGGAAAGAAAGCGAGACCTTCTTATCGGCGCCGATAGACCTCTTCATACAAACGGGCGGATGAGAAGGCGGTTGGTTAAGAAGGCGGATGAGAAGGCACGAGGTTCAAACCGCCTTAGGTCACCATCCATGGATGTACTGCCAGATATCTAATGCCAATACCATCGCTATTGCTACGTTATGCTTGGACAAGCAGTAGCAGTAGTATGGACATTGCATGCATAGACCAGTACATATAGTGAAAGACGTGTTGGTCGAAATCCGGAGAATGATCCTTGATAATATCATGCAGTGGAACACGCATTGATTGAAGTTCGCATAGAACAGTATACCTATCGACTCCACACAGTGGAAGAACGTATTGATCGAAGTTCGGATAAAGATGTATCATTGTTTAACTTCAGAGACATTTGAACTGAGTTTGATATAGGTATGCTTGTTGAATTTAATTAGTAGAAGATGTATCAATTGCTTCGAATAAAGGTTCATACATTTACCTGTTGATTGCATAGTAGAAGGCGTTGGCTGAAGTTCGCATAAAGCATGCTTGTCGGCTTCAAATAGTGTAGGAGTATCGATAGTTCGTGTACAATAGTATACCTCTCAGCTTCTACAACGAAATACGTAGAAATTGAAGTTCGTATAGAACGTGTACCTGTCAATTTTGATTAGTAAAAGAAGTATCAGTTGGCCTTCGCATAGAGACATACATTTACCTGTTGACTCAAACGGTGTGGTGTAAAATTATGGATTGAAGTTCGTATACAAAGTATGCGCGTCGACTTCACAGAGTAAAAAGTGTATTGATTGAAGGTCGCATAAAGATACATGCCTGCTTCATGTCAAGAGTGAACTAGAACAAATGAATGAGGTAGGTAAGTATAAGTTGAAAAGCACGATCACGATCCTACAGAACAGACTCATTCTCGTCCTGCGCGGTTTCGACATCGTTGGAGTTGCGGTTCTCCTTAGTTGCCTTAGACTGCGCTTTGGGGGTCTCCTGGTTGGCCTCTTTCTGACGCTCTTTCCGGCTCTCTTTCCGGCTCTCTTTCTGGCTCTCTTTCTGGCTCTCTTTCTGGCTCTCTTTCTGGCTCTCTTTCTGGCTCTCCTTTTTGCTCCGGACTTTCTCGCTTGGACTCGCCCCAAGCTTTGATGGAGTCAAGTTCTTGGGCTCGCTCGATCCCGAAACATCACGGGTGCTTGGCTGTGAGATCTCCCTGAGCGCGGATGCACGCCGGCTTCGAGTCTTGTAACCTGCAGATCGAGCTTCGGCTGCAGCAGAAGGCTTCGAGGCAGACAGAGCGGCAGTGGAGGGAGTATTGGAGGGTGCGCGAGTACCCACTGGAGGCGCCTTCGTTGGTGTCAGAGCTTCGATCAGCTCATTGTATTGTTCATCGTCAAGGCAGGAATTGATACTGGGCTGCTTGCTGTGTTCGTAGCTCATCCCAGTCATGCTAGAGATAGCCCGGCTGCTAGTCGATCCCGTAGAAGCATAATCTGGCATTGGGATGTCCTCGCGAGAGGATCGAGCACCACGCTGCCGCCATGCTGTATCATCAACGAAGGCGTCCATGGCAGGTTCCACGATGTATGTATCCTGTGGTTCCCATCGAGGCTCTTGTGGATACCCGTTCCATTGTGTGGAAGGTATGGGAAATCCACGGTGAGGAGTCCAGGCGTTGTAAGTTGATGAATTACTGCCGCTGTAAGTAGCTGCATTGCTGCTAGACTGGCTGCTCGTGTTAGCTGTGATTGTAATTCGATGTTCGGGTCTGCTAGGCTTGCTTGGCGAATGTCCATGGGCGCCATCGCCAATTATCTTGGAGGTACCATATCTCGGTGCCGATCCATACCGGGATGCGTTCGGCATAGCAAGCCACATGTTGGGATTGGGCCAAGCAATGTCGGAGAACTCCAGCACATCTAGTGGTGCATGCTGGAAAGAGAAAGCAATGACATGCTTGAATCGTTCGAACGGGGGCGAGCGATTGGGCCGAGAGAAACCCTCTGCAATGACAACCTTGATTCGACCATGAGAATCTCCGGCATCCCAATGCTTCTGCTGTAGTATTTCAGAGTGAAAGGGAGGGAATCGAAGGGTGTCTTGGTTTCCATCTCGGTCAAGATCTGCTTGGACTGTGAGAATTTGGAATCAAAGAAAAAGAAGGAATCTCATACTAGAACTCAAGTCTGTCAAGTGAATGTCAGTAGCTATCCACGAAGCGTGTACAAGGATTTAGGCAATCGAGGGGAAATTTTGGAACTGTGTTTCGCCGATGTAAGCGATGTAAGCGCACGCAACGTACCCATAATCTGTGGCCAACTAGTTCTTTGTCCGTGGATACTACCCCTGCAAGGCATTAGCCCAATCCAAGCGGACATGCTGCATATTTAGATCGTGGTACTCACGCAACGAAGACCCCATCAATGAATATCCGCGCCTCGAAGAGTAAAACATCCTCTGGTTCCATATTGGACTCAATCTGCACACTGGGGCGTGGCTTCTCCCAACTATGAACTGAGACTTGGAATGGGGTGTCTTTGGGTAGACTCGGGATGAAGGTCGTGAGGACTGGCAGCTGGTTAAAAAGTCCTGGGTCGGGATGGTGTGCATGATGGCCAAGGAAGACTTCGTTGTGCAGATAGGGCGAGTCTTTGTCCTTGGTCACAAAGCATTGTGTCTTGAATTCTTGGATAGGCACCTTCGAACCTCCAGGGAAAAGGAGGACATCCCAGTTTCTGTAGCGCATGGTGCCGTGAAGTGTAAAGGAGGATGGATGCAATGTGGTTCTCACCTGGGCATATTCGAAGTTGTCAAGGCGGTATACACATGGGTACAAATAGGAAGTCGTGTAGGCGGTATGCTGCGGGTCGGTCGTTGTTGCCATGAGCAGTAAAGTACATGTACATAACCGTTGGAAGGCATCCAGCATCGAGAAAGGCGGTATACGTATCGATAAGAAAAGGCGGTATACATGGGATGGGTGTTTGTTCATGTGTAGTTGGACATCATGGATTCATAGTTCAATATGCAATGAGTGAACCAAGCCCTAACCAGTTGTATCTGCCATAGTTATCTGTGAGGATGATCATTAAGATGAAGAGCTGCTCCTACTTACATTCCAGTTTTCGGAAATTTAAAGGTCTACAATGATCCAGAAGAATTATCTCAGAATCGGCCCAGTTCAAGTCCCAGCCCTAACCCAGTAGACTCCAAAGACACCAAGATAGCAGACAGCAAGACAGCAAGACAAGCACCAGGCACCAACTACCAGAGCAACCAGGTAGGCTCGAGTCAATTGGAACCTCCACCTATGGGACCAGCCACAGGGGCAATGTTTGTGTAGGTAGATCCAGAAGCAAAGGGGCGACGATACAATACCAGAGAAATGGAGAGCTTGACGGCAGTAGCGCGATGCAAACACCAAACGAGCGTACAGGACATTATTGCATACGATCAAAAGGAATTAGAATCGACAAACGCTGAGGCGCACGAGAGAAAAGCGTGTTGTACAAGCCGGCAACCAGTCTTAACAGGGAAGAATCAAGGGTAAGAAAAAGCACAACGCAAAACTCTCAAAGCGAACATAATTCAATTTAGCTGCTTGAAGAGAAAAAAAAGAAAGAAAAAAGAACAAAGGAAATAAGGTGGTAACGGTGGGGGAAACGGAACTTTTCGCAGAATGCCTGCCCAAGGAGTATAAGGGAAAAAGAAGCGCATGACAATTCGGACTTCCATTACACGCAGACAAAGACCCAGTGGCGGGAAACCCCGATAGCATAAGGGCAGAGACACATCGAAAATAGATAAAGAAAAATAAAATACGAACGGGCGCAAAGGAGGAGAGAGGAAAGGAGGGGGGTAAAAAGGAAAGATACATAAGAACAAGACAGATCAGAAAGGGGATAAAGCTCAGATCTTGCTAAGGTAATAGCGCTCACGTGAAAAGGAAATGCGTAGCACAGGAGACAAATGCTCATCAAGAGCTATAGCCTTGGCCAAGAAACCAGGGAACGAATTTGTTATGACACAATAGAATCATCGTTGGAATGACACAAATAACTCCTGCTGGTGCTTTCAATCAAAGGGAAACGCTTACTGGAAGAGTGTGTCAGCCGACCGCCTGCTTCACATTTGATCCGGGATCGGGCTGCCAGGGTGATCGCTCACCTTCATGGGGGCAAACCCGCCATACTGGTGGGCCGGGGGCATGCCCATGGAGGGGTACATGGGAGGCGGCGGGGGAGCAGGGCGGTAAGGGCTGCCGGCAGGGCCGGAGTTGTTTTGGGAGCGGCCCCAGCTCAGACGCACGCGGGAGTTGCCAATTGGGTAGCCCTGCATCTGGTTGATGGCCATCTCAGCGGCATGGCGCTGGACGAATTGGACGAAACCACAGCCCTTTCCAGGGGGAATCTTGACGTAGGTGATTTCTCCGAAGCCCTGGAAGAAAGAGCGGAGCTCATCCTCGGTGACGTAGCCGGACAGACCACCAACGAAGACAGTGGTGTTGTTAGGGTCTGTGAACTGGTTCATGGGCTGAGGAGCACCGTAGAAGGGCATGGGAGGGCCACCCATGGGAGGGTACATGCCAGCGGGACCGGGCATACCCATGGCAGCACCACCGTTGCCGCCAACACCGGGACCCTTGTTCTTGGGGGTAGCGGTGGAGATACGCATAGGGCGGTTGCCACAGTAGACACCCTGCATCTCGGTGAGAGCACGCTGCTGGTCGTTCTCGTCGGAGAAGCGAACGAAGCCGTAGCCGCGGGACATGCCGCTGATGGGGTCGGTCATGATCTTGGCAGACTTGCAAGAAGGGAAGCGGCTCTGGAAGAGGGAGACGAGGACGTATTCGTTCACCTCAGGGCCGAGGTCACCAACGAAGATGGAGTACTCGGGGCCACGGTCATCACGGCTGGGACGGGTCAGTTTTAATAGCCGGGAGGAAACGAATTGAGATTCTCGCTTACCTGCGATCAGCGAGGCCGCCACCGGTAGCCCAGTTGAGCTTGAAGACTCGGTTGGTGTTGGGCATGGGGGTGCCGTTCAGAGAAAGGGCCTTGGCAGCGGCGGCAGGGGAAGCGAAGTCGACGAAGCAGTATCCAGCATTGCTCCTACTACCCACATTAGAAACAATCTTGGAATTCAAATGATAATTACGGTGTCTTACCCAGAGAACTTGTCACGGATCATCTTGACGTTGACCTGCTCACCCATCTGGAACCAAAGGTTGCGGATGAAGTTCTCGTCGATCCAGGGTTCGAGCTCACCCATCCACAGGGTGGTCTTGCCATCGGCGCCCTGCTGGGGGACGGGAGCGGAGTTGGGCTCACCAGGAGGGGGGCCCTGGAACTGAGCGGCAGAGGGGTCGGCCTGGCCGGTCATGGTGGTGTCAACAGGAGCCGGAGCGCCAGCAGCGGCGGGGTCCTGCTGAGGGAAGTTTTCGTAGCCGTTGTAAGACATGGTTGCAAGAATCAAAGTCCGGGAAGTCGACGTAAGAATATAAGATGGCTGAGCGACTAGAACTTCGTGGAGTCGTTAAAGAAAGACCGGCGTGAGATCAAGTCGTAACGAAGCCAAGCAAAGAGACGTAAAGGCTAATGAAGATATAAAGTTAGATCATATCAATTTTCATTTGAAATTGAAGCAGATCTGCACGCGGATAAATAAAGAAAAGGAAGTGAGAAGTGAAAAGCAGACAACGCAATGAATCAATCAATGCAAGTGAATAGAACGATCCTGGAGAGAAAAAAAAAAGCGGGTAGGCAGCATTTTGCAGTTGGCTTCTTCAGGCGCATATACGATTCTGAGCCTCAAAAAATA